AAGCCCTAAACCCCAAACCCTCAGCCCTAAACCCCAAACCCTCAACCCTAAACCGCCTAACTAAACCCTAAACCCTAAAGCACAAAACCCTAAACCCTAAACCCTAAACCCTAAACCTTGGCTCAGTTTCGGAGCCATCTTGAGAAACCCTCTAGTGCCAAAGCCAGCCTCAGCTCCCTTTTCTGTGGGTTTTATGGCCTTTTGTGTGGGTTTTATGGCCTTTTGTTTAGGTTTTATGGGAGGACGTTGGGGGAGTTTCCTGTTTTTTTTTGTTGAAGGCTTTGTGGCATGTTGAAGGAACGCATGCATGTGGAGTTGCGTGCTCACTTTTTCTACCCGAAATGCCCTATAAACCCATTTCCGACGTTGAGGGCCGGGGGACTTGCCAGAACGTCCCGTAGGGGATGAAACCCTCACCTGTGCATATGCTGCCGTGAAACTCTACAACACAAAGCGCAGAGTTCACCTCCTATAAGCTTCGCAGGAACTTTACCAGAAACAGGCCGCTACATGTCCCTAAGCCCTGTAGACCCTAAACCCGACCAATTGGCCGCTGCATGTCCCTAAGCCCTAGACCCTAAACCCGACCAATTCATGTAAGAACCTCACAAGAAGTTTCCTAAACCCTAAACCCTGAACCCTAAACCCTAAACGCTGTTTAGACCTGCACTGGACCCAGGACGAGGGAGCCGAGGTTCTGCAGGCTGCTGCGCGCTAGGGTTTGGGTTTAGGGGGTTGGGGGGGGGGGGGGGGGGGGGGGGGGGGGGGGGGGGGGGGGCAATAAACTGGCTTGTTTTTTGGGGAACATGTTTCTTTTATGGACGAACGGATCAGGTTTTTTTTGTGGTAAATCATGGCAGAATGCTTAACGCTTCTTTCGTTTGGGTGGTTGGTTGTTTATCTTGGACAGCGTGGTTACATAATACGACGGCAAGGGATGTCACCTTGGGATGTTCCCCCTTCTACTAACAGTCCTTAGGGTTTAGGGTTTATGGTTTAGGGTTTGGGGTTTAGGGGTTTAGGGGTTTAGGGGAATAGGGGAATAGGGGAATAGGGGAATATCGTATATCGTATATCGTGCCCCCTATTCTTGTCCCTGTTCAGGACTGTGAGCACAGGGGGCAGCATCCCAAAGGGGTACCTTGTTAGGCTCCGATATCAGATGGCCCTCTGGACGCTGCTGTGTTGTTTCAGGTTGTAGTAGTACAAGGGCTTCAGCTTCGGCTTTTGTTTCTGAATTCTGAATGCAACAAGTGTTCATTGCAGGGCGACTGTCAGCATGCTACTCGTAGGGGCGTGGTAAAACAGTCCCAACGGCTGCCCTGACAATGCGCTCCCCCCAACCTTCGGCCTCAACCCAAGACTCCCCCAAACAGTTCACGGTTTAGCCCTAAACCCTAAACCCTACACCCTATAAACCCTAAACCCTAAACCCGGGGGCCCCTTGAACCCTAAGTCCCTTTTAAGAACTGGCAAGCAAACTCCCCAACCTAAATCCGAAAACCCTGCACCCTTAAACCCCTCTCCCCCCGCTTAGGGCTCTCAAATCCTTATGGCAGGGCCCAGAACTGCACAGCACGGCGCGGAATTACTTGGCAGCTTGCCTGGTCCCAGAAGAGTTTCGGTTTTCGGGTGAGGGTTCAGTGTTCCCCGTTGACTTTCATATGACCACTTGTAGCAATAGACCCGAAAAGCCTAGACAGGCAGATGCACATACACATGGGTAGTTTCCTAAAATAGGGCCCCTTTTATGGCGGCACCCTTTTAACGGGATCCCAAAAGGGACCCTAATTTCGAGAACCACCCCAAAGCCTAAACCTCAAACCCTAAACCCTGAACAAGTAGATGTACATACATATAGAGGGGCAGCTGGTCACGCTCCCGACCCCCGTCCGAGTGCACGCTTGTCGACCACCCCCCCCGCCCCCTCCATTTCTTGCGTACAATCCTAAACCCTAGCCCTAACCCTCAACCCTAAATCCTCAAACCTAAACCCTAAACACACATCGATCAAAGGTTTGCAGGCATAGACCTACACGACAAGGTAGGTCTTGGGTTTTCAGGGTACTTGGCATTATGGCAGGAGCAACCTGCTTCGAAGTGGCCGTGTGCCGAAGGGTTTTGCTAAAACGGATCCAATCTTTGTGGTGCTTTACTGTAACTTTACATCTTTAGCCTTTTTGGGTTGATTGGGTTTCTTAATAAGGCAGCTAAAAGTTTGTTTTTTGCCACCCTCCTAAGTGCAGCCAAGCAATGTAGTACCTCTTCAGGGTATACTACTTGGTAGCCCAGTGGTACCCCTTACCCCTTTTTTTGGTTATGGTTTCCCTTATAAGAATAACCAACCCGAGAAAGGGTGCCCTTATCATAATATGGTTACTTGGCTACTAAGCTAGCAGCTAGCAAGCGCGAAAACAAAAACTACATAAAGCCTTCTAGTAGGGTTTAGGGATTAGGATTTAGGAGCTGCCAGCAAGCTGGTCCGAGTCTGTGTTCTAAACCCCAAACCCCAAACCCCAAACCCCAAACCCCAAACCCCAAACCCTAAACCCTAACTGAACCCTAAACCTTAGGGTCTCGGAAGCAAGTTGTTGGCTTGTTTCAAAGCCAAGGTCTTCTTGCGAAATAGCAGGCGCACAGTGCCTTGGGGACCACATGAACCCTAAAAGGGTTTATGGTTCATATGACCTTAGTCGGAAATAGAGTAGTACAGGGTATACGAATGTATATGGATAGCAGTAGAAGGTATATGAATGTATATGGCCCTACGTTTAGGGTTCATTTGTTGCGATAGCCTTTCGCCTTCTGGGCATTACGCGGCTGGCAAGCAATGCTACCACCCCAAAGTCCGTGTAGTTATTCATATTTTCGGTGAGTTTCCGAAGCCCTATATCCGAACAGCCCCTGATGGGGGTTTCGGATTGAGGGCTTGCTTCTCGGCTGCTTTGGGGCTTTTGGGTTTTCGAATGTGCGTTTGGTTGTCGCACTTTCAAAGGATGCCCTACTGTACCAACTCGGCCCCAAACCGCATGATTTCCTAAACCCCACCCTTATAAAAAGCGCGCTTTGAGAGCCCCGTCACTACTAACACACACTGCCCTCCCCCCCCCCCCCCCCCGGCCCCAACAAAAAACGCAACGTGGCGGAAGGAGACGCATTATGTCAGTGTCAGTTCTTCGGTTCTGGAGTTCGACTCAGACGGGTATGGGGGGTTGAGGGCTTGTGTCACTGAAGCCCGCGTCAATAGCTTTCTTGAGCCCTCGAAGGTTGTTCAGGGGTTGCCAGCCTTCGCGATGCATGGGTCGCAGCCTGGGGGGCCGAAGATTCAGGGGTCTTGCGAGCAGTGGCCCTGAACCCTGCACCCTATAAACCCTATAAACCCCATAACTAAACCCTATAAACCCTATAAACCCTATAAACCCCACAAACCCTCTAAACCCTCTAAACCCTATAAACCCTGTAAACCCTATAAACCGTGTAAACCCTGTCAACCCTAGAAACCCTATAAACCCTAAAGCCGTGGCCCCCAAGGCCCTGTAATTAAGCACCATATCCGCGCAGGGACATGTTCGTCTTGCTGACCCTCCTGTCCTTCCTCTCCGCCCTTTCCATCAACAAGCAGCGGACCTTCCTCTTCGGCTGCTTGCATGCATTTGTGGCTGCCCCTGAGGTTCTTAATGCTAGTTGATAGGTCCTGATTGAGAAATTCTTAGTTTCGTGATTACTATGAATAAGTTTGATACTATTCATAGTAGTGATATTGTTCATTCTACTGGTGTTTTTACTGTTGATGTTATAAGTATTATTTATGGTTTGATAGCAACTCACATTTTCCCACTGTCAATATTCTCAAAACCTAGCGTACACTTCCGCAGGCAAATTCCTTCGTGTACCTAAACCCTAAACCCTCAGAGCACCTAGATCCCAGACCCAGGTTGCGTCCCGGGCCCGATCTCATTGATGGAGGACGACGGCAGACATCAAGGGTGAAGTGAGCGATTGCATGTCATCGCTCAGCTTTTAGGGCCCCATGGGCCTTCCGATTGGAACCTTCTGAAACCCGAGACCACGACTAAGGGCTTGAGTCCCTAACTTCCAGACCCTTAGGTAAGTTATACTGGACCCCTGCGAATTTTGTTGGGCATGCTTCAGTATATATGCAACTTGCCCCTCTCTTTTGTGCCTTCAAGACCCCAAACCCCACTTGCTAGCGGAATCGCGCTTTCCCCAGGACGCAACAGCAACGTCCCTGACAGTCGTGTGCGTCAATGCTTCGTGGCTCAGGGTTTGTGGTCAGGTGGCTTGTTGAAGTTTTCGTCTTTTGGCCACGAGGTTTATTTCTTGTCCAGGCATTATGCTTGTCTGCTGTCGTGTTGATCAGAACCTATTGCGCACGTGCACCTGTGAATATCATACGTATGAACATTGTGTCGTGCATGTGTACATATATATATATATTCCGTCCGTGATTTTTGTTTTTACTATTTGCTGTTGTCTAGAGGACATTCTCACGAATGCGTACATGCACGAGATACACGCACATGCTGACACACTGACGCGCTACTTGTTTTTGTGGCAACAGGAGAGAGAGAGAGAGAGAGAGAGAGAGAGAGAGAGAGCGAACAAAAAAAATCAGCTTGCGAGACATAAGCCGAAACCCTACAACCCCGAAACCCCGAACGCTAAGCCCTAAACCTCGGAACCCTCAGCCCTATACCCCGAAACACGAAGCCCCAAACCCCGAAACCCTAAAGCCCCTACAGCCCCGAAACCTAAGCGCCGAAAAATCGAAACTCTCAACCCTTTTCTCGCGAGATTGGCCAGTGATCAAGGTCGGAGGCCTAGCCTACTGCAACCGGACTCAGTAGGTAGAACTGAATGGAAAGAGCAAGGACGAACGAATCGCTTGGCAGAGTGTGGCAAGGCCGGATGCCCTCGGCCCATCCGAAACTCTAACCCCGGAAATGCTAAACAATACCCTTGATTGAGCCCAGGCCTTGATGCTCGGGGTTGTGGTGTACACCTTCGTCATCCGCTTTGAGAGACACTGCGCCAGGGGCCACAAGAAGATTCTGGACGGGGGGAGACATGGGATGTCCTTCAGGGTTTCGGAGTTGCAGGTAAAAGGGCCTGGGCTTGAACCCTAAACCCTAAACCCTAGGGTTTTGTTTCTAGATTTTGGGATGTCCGAGAACAGCAGACATCCCGCCTCCCCTGGACAGGAGGATTTGGACCTAGTGGAGCGGACGTGACTTGGTGTCTCTAAGGCTGAGGTCGCAGCAGCGACCCTCAACCCGACAGACCCTAAAACCTAAACCCTAAACCCTAAACCCTAGACCCTGAGCTATAAACCTTACACCTGCCTCCGTGGTTTCCTAACTTCATCATTTGCGAGACGGTTGTGCAGGTTCAATAAGTTTCAAGTCCACGTAGGAACCCTGAGGCAAGTACATATTGGTAGGTTACTCGATGAGTGTTCTTTGAGCTTACTTAGCCAATAGGCGAACTTTAATCTTTTTTTGTTTCCTTGTTTAGTAGCAGCAATGAAGCTCAACCCTTTTTCCTTTCCTTATAGGAGAAGTTCAGGTTATAAGCCGCGAACACTGGTTCTCACCCTAAACCCTAAACCCTAAACCCTAAACCCTAAACCCTAAACCCTAAACCCTAAACCTTCAAGGCAGGGTTCAGATACCTCGGGTTGTAGTTTGCAACTTCAGCCACAGCAATCCGAAGGGCGACCCAGGTCAAAAAAAGTCCCGAGCCCTGTCCACAGTTGATCTTGATCTGGATGTGCAGCTAGATGCGAATTCCTTACCCCCTCCCCCCCCCCCCCCCCCCCCCCAAGAAGAAAAAAAAGAAAAGCATTGGAAATAAGCAGAACTAATGACTAAACACTCCCTGATAAGCGCGGCCCTCAGATCATGCAGCAGAAGCCCTAAACGCTTGCATCCCTGCAGTGTGGCTTCCCCAGATAACCACTTGTGAGCTTGTACTTGGAGGTTCATGGGTACTTGTAAGTAGGGTTGTAAGAACCCTAAGAATTGTATAAAACCATAGGTGCCCTACTCATAGCCCTACTTATAGGTGCCCAGCTGAGCCTCCAAGTATATCCCCCATCCATCCTAGACCCAGCCCCCTTCAAGGGCCCCATCCTCAAACCGCATAGGGTTTAGGGTTTGGGGTTTAGGGTTTAGGGTTTAGGGTTTGGGGTTTAGGGTTTAGGGTTTGGGGTTTAGGGTTTAGGGTTTAGAAGCTTCACCCGATGAGGGGCAATCCCTAATCCCGACTCCCTAGGCTTTGGCTCACCCACTTGCCCTGTGCCGACTCACAAACCCGTGAGCCTTTTTGCGCTCTCGGCTGCATTAGGCTTCATCCCATCATTTTCATTCATACTATGCTTTGGGATGTTAGGTTGTTTTTTTGCAGAGTTTGGGGTTTGGGGGGGTTTGTAAGGGGACTTTATTGGGAACCCTCGTAGGAATCTAGGTCCTTATATTCCCTTTACATCCCTAGCATACTCTTAAGGTTCCCTGTTTGGGGTTCCTATTGGGATCCTTTTAGTTCGAGTTGCTGGGTTTAAGGCTGCCGGTTTCAGTTATACGGAATCCGGGGTTCGACCTCAGTTCTAGATGCCCGAGTAAACCCTAAACCCTAATGAGCCCTACACTTCACCCAGGCTTGCAAAACGACGAGGTGGAGCAGGCCTTCTAGTTGAGGGCCTAGGGCTTGGGGTGTTTTGTTTTGGGGCTGGTGGTCTTGTGGCTATAGTTTTTTTTTTTTTTTTGGGGGGGGGGGGGGTGGGGGGGGGGGGGGGGGGGGGGGGGGGGGGGGTTGTCTGCTGGCTGTTGGTATGTCATGAGGCCTTATGTACCCCTACATAAACCCTTCAGAGGATTCTCTAATTCCTTCCTTCCCTACCGAAGAGCAAGCAGGTTACTGGGCTTCTGAGCCCTAAACCCTCCAATCCATAGCATCCTATGGCCCCATAACCTCCTTGAAGCAGCTTTAGGGAGCGACCTCAGCAGGCTGAATCCAAGGTTTGCAGGGCTTTTTCGACAACGCTGGTCTCGGTGGCTCATCTCCCACCCGGCTCTTTTTTCTTTCTTTTCAAGGGACTCAAGGAGGAACCCTTCTAAGGGACCTTAGGGGTTATTTAGGGGCTACTGAGGGATATAGTGACTCCATAAGGTGTTTATATAGGTGGATATAATGGAACAAGATTACGGGTCCCTTCTAGGGGTCCCTCCTTTTGCCCTGCGGCCCTGCTCGTCAAAAAACCTGAACGCTGAACCGTTATTCATACTCTAAGAACCCAGAACCTAATATTCTTGCAGGTCACCTAAGAATCCTATAAGGGGTTTTATACCAAGAGCCTAGAAAAAAGTAGGTTTTGGGTTCTTAGGGTAGGCGAACCCTAAACCCGAAACCCTAAACCCTACAACCTAAACCCTAAACCCTAAACCCTAAACCCTAAACCCTAAACCCTACACCCACTATATATTCTTAAGGCCCCTATATTACCCCTCAAGCCTCCAAGCAGAGTCCCGGTGACCCCTGGGGAGGTCGAGGCAGACCTTTGCGACAAGATCAAGGTAGACCTGAGGGCGAAGAAGAAGAAGGAGCTGCGGGGTTTAGGGTTTAGGGTTTAGGGTTTAGGGTTTAGGGTTTAGGGTTTAGGGTTTAGGGTTTAGGGTTTAGGGTTTCGTTTCCGGGCTTGGGGTCCAGGGTGGCCACTTGAAAGGAAGGCCATTCCTGGGTTTGTAGCGGTTTGAGGTTTAGGGGCTTCCGGTTTGCAGCTGGACCCTTTGGGTCTTCTCACGGTCGAAGACTTTCGGTCTTAGGGCCTGACGGTTTAGTGTTTAGGGTTTAGGGCTTAGTTAGGGTTTAGAGCCTTGGAAGGTTGTAGTATTAAACGGTTGCTAGGATTCCGGATGTTAGCGTTCAGGTTCAGGGTTTAGGGTTTAGGGTTTTTTTAGCAAGAAGGCCCTGCTTTCAGGTGTTGCCGGCAGCCTCCTCAGTCCGTGCTTAAAAAGGGTTTTGGGTTTAGGGTTTTGTTAGCAAGAAGGCCCTGCTTTCAGGTGTTGCCGATAGCCTCCTCAGTCCGGGTTTAGGGTTTAGGGTTTAGGGTTTAGCGTCCAGCTGCGAGCAGACCCACAACCCGATTTATTCACCCCCCCCCCCCCCTCCGTGTCCTTGAGTGACTCGTCTTTCTGGGAGGGGGCCGGAATGTCTAAACAATAAACTTCCTAAACTCTGAACTTTAAATTTTAAACCCAAATCCGTCCTGACCGGAGCTGCGTGGGTGGCAAGACTCACACCGGGCCCCCGAAGCCATATTTTTTGCATCCAGTCTTTTAGGGTTTAGGGTTTAGGATTTAGGGCTTAGGGCACGAACACCCTACAGCCTATACCTTTGAGTAGGACCCGGAGCTGTGGAGCGCCGTTGACCCGGATGAAGCCATCGAAGAGCTGCGGCTCGCAAGCACAGGTTTCACTAGTTGCCTAAGATGCCCCCAGGTAAAGACTGAATAGGGTTTAGGGTTTAGGGTTTAGGGTTTAGGGTTTAGGGTTTAGGGCTTAGGGCTTAGGGCTTAGGGTTTAGGGTTTAGGGTTTAGGGTTTAGGATCCCCCAACAAAGCTGCAAGTGGGGGTTTCCGAAAATAGGGGACCCCTAAAATAGAGCCCCGATAAGGAACCCAATAAGGTGCCCTCGCAATTTCAGAACCCCCCAAAAGGTTCTTCTTTCTCAGGGTTATATATAAATAGGGATTATTGCCTTTATTTTCAGAGATGCAGGCTGAGGTTTTGAGGTATTTAGTCCAAACCCTATCTTTCCAGGGACCTAATAATCAGGTGACTCGAGCCCAGAAGGACCCCATATTTAGGTCCCTAGCTAGAAGGATGGGAAAGGGTTTAGGGTAGGGGGTTTGGGATTTGAGGGGTTTGGTGGGTTTGCTTGTCTTGCTTTTTGTGGTTGGCTTCAAGAACCCTAGGCCTTTGAAGTCCCTAAAGGCTAAGCCATAAACCTTACTGTCCCTCTAGAAGTCCTTCGGTCCTGAGCCTTTGATCCCTGAAGCCCCAAAGCCCTCCAGGAGCTTGAGCCAGCTGGAACTCACTGAAGTGTAGACCTCTTGGTATGGATTGAGGTCTAGGGTTTAGGGGCGCCCTAAACCCTGCACCCTACAGGTCCTATAAGCCCTCAACCCTCAACCCTAAACCCTAAAGCAGAGCTGAGGTTCGTCACGCCTGCTGGGGGCTCAGGCGGATCTTTCAGGACCAATCCATCGGACCTTCTCAAGGGCTTAAAACACCCCCCCCCCCCCCAATTCTTCTAGGGATCCAATTTTTGGGGTCCTTATGGTTTAGGGTTAAGGGTTTTGGTCTTTAGAAACCTAGTTTTTAGATTTTTAGGTCCCCCCCCCCATTCTTCTAGGGAACCAATTTTTGGGTACTTATGGTTTAGGGTTTAGGGTTTTGGTCTTTAGAAACCTAGTTTGTAGATTTTTAGGTCCCTGGAAGTGTTGGGAAAGTTTCGCGCGTTTGTGGGCAGATTGGCCAGGCCTCAGCCGGGCGGACAGCCCAGGCCCGTTGCAAAAGTATTTAGGAGTTTAGGCAACCCTAAACCCTAAAACCTAAACCCGAAACCCTAAACCCTAAACCCTGCAAAAGGGAATACGCTTGGAAAGATGCGGGGTGCTACTTTGCTTAGACGAATCAAAGGGGGGCCATTGGGCCGGCTTGGCGGGTTTAGGGTTTCGGGCTTGGCTACGAGACCCGAGCTGCGTGTTTGCAACAATTCAGTTCACTTAGGGTTTAGGGTTTAGGGTTTAGGGTTCAGGGTTCAGGGTTTAGGGTTTAGGGTTAGGGTTAGCTTTCTTGATGCTCCAGTGTCTGCCGTGGTGTCAGACGGTGACTGCAACAAACTGTGTTCATGCAGCGGCTGTGCTATAAGACCGGTGACAAACCTCAAACTTCCGCCTGATGTGGAGAGTGGTGGCCATAAATGCAGGCACCCATGCCCGCTCAAGAATTTCTTGAAGGTTCATTAGGGTACTTATAACCCCAATTAACAGTCTACTTATAGCCAACTTAAACAACTTAGGGGACTTGGGGGGCTTATAAGTGCAGTTTCAATTGGGGTTATAATAAGTGCCCATGAACCTCCAAGTACTCGTCCTTCGTGACGGGGTTAAAATCAGGGCGGGCGACCTGTTTTGGTATAACCAGTGTACTGCAAGCTCTTCATATCTTGTGAAGCTTGGTGATACTTTAATACGGGCTGAGTTTCTGCGCAGAGAGGTGCACCCAGGCGCGAACCTGCAAGCCTGTTGAAAAAGGGTCTAGGGTTTAGAGTGGTCAAAGTCGTGTCGTACCGCCAGATGGAGTCGACTTTTTGGAACCTCGATATTCTGATTGACCCCAATTGGTTTCAAGTTCTCCTTCCTTCCATTTCTGAAGTTAGCCGAGCGGTGTTTTGAAAGGTTCGATATTCTGTTGACTTGGGGCGAAATCCCTGAGGGATGGCTAAGACAAGTATCGCAGCTTGCGGGCCTGACTTGCTAGCACAGCACTTTTGGGCGACATCGGGGTGGGCACAAGTGCTTCCACGCTGGCAGGTGCCGGCATGGCTCCCAGACCGGATTCAAAAGGGTTCATTTAGGGGGTTTAGGCTCCAGCGTGCCCAATAATTATTTGGGCCAGCGCCCTTATCGCATGGAACTTGTTCTGAATTTGGCGGGCGATGGCTCATCAGGGGGCTCTCATAACTATAGTGCTATAGGTACCCTTAAAAAGGTTGTAGCCATAGTTACTTTATCGTACCTGTGAACCTCCAAAGCAACACAGGAGCACACAGAGAGAGAAAGAGAGAGATTTGGTCTGTAAAGGTCGTCGACGAGTGGCACGCGGTGGTGAACAGGATCAAGAAGTACGACGCCTGGCCAGAGATAAATGCGGGTCCAGGCTCTCAACCCTGAACGTTCTCGCGCAGGGTTGAGGGTCGCAGTGTTTGGGGTGCCAGCATGGAGATGTGAGTTTGGCCCATGGCTTTCTGGAATTCTCGCTGGGCTTGCCGAGGGGATGGACGTTGCATGCGCCTTCGGACCCTGCCTGGCACGTAGTGCTTCATGCTAGACATGTTTCCCTAAACCCTAAACCCTAAACCCCAGCTGAAAGGATCCAAAAAGTAGAGCCCCCACATAGTAGCCTGTAATTACTACTACTGGGTCATTCTTGGGCACCCTTACGTGGATTTACTTTTTTTGGTCCCATCTTCAGCTGTAGGGAGGAACAATAAGCCCTAAACCCTAAGCCCCAACCCCTGATCCCTAACCCTTAACCCCTAACCCCAAGCCCTGCAACAGCACAAAAGTCCACTTCCGAGCGTTTTAGAGGTTGAGTTTGGGGTCTCTATACGGCTCAGGTGTAGGGTTTAGGGTTTAGGGTATGGACGACAAAGAGTTCGGGTTTTCAGGAAACCCTAAACCTCAAACCTTAAAACCCTAAACCCTAAACCCTAAAACCCTAAAACCCTAAAACCCTAAAACCCTAAAACCCTAAAACCCTAAAACCCTAAAACCCTAAAACCCTAAAACCCTAAAACCCTACAACCCTAAAACCCTAAAACCCTAAGACCCTAAAACCCTAAATCCCTAAAACCCAAGCCCTAAACCGTGAACCCAGGAGTACCTGTCACGGGAGTACCGGAAGAGACACTCCAAGTCAAAGAAGATGCTTGGAGCCTCAGTGTGTTCGGTGGCCGAATGGGGGGAGGTTAGGCTTGGGATGTTCCCCCCCTCCCCCCCTCCCTCCCCCCCTCCCCCCCCCCAAAAAAAAAACAAGAGTAGCCTAAACGAGGTTAAAAGCTTCGTGACCCTACTTCGTGACCCTACTGCTTACCTTTATTTTACCCATGAACCTCCCCCACCCTAAGCCCTAAACCCTAAACCATAAACCCTAAACCCTAAACCCCTCTCCCCCACCCCTGCTCCCACCCATCCCAAAGTCTTTGAGCCCACGTGTCGAAACCTTGGGGTCAAAGGACACGGGTTTCACGACCGTGGAAATTTTGTTTGTTTTGATGCGGCTTGTCTTTAAATTTGGGGGGGGTTCAAGAGGGCTGGCTTAGGAATAGCTTCAGAGGTGTTTTTGTCTTGTGTTTTTGTTTCTCCTCTTTCAGAGGGTTTCAAGGGCGAATATGATGCATGCCTGCTGGCCTTTGTGTTGCGATGTCTCTGTGGGCACAGAGATCCAAGTGTACCCCTGCATTTGTTGCATGTGATGTTCTTTTCCGCACGGGCTCAAGCTGTCGCCAGGCTTCGATTCGATCATTTCGTTTCTCTGCGAATTTCAGCCATGATGCCGGTCCGCTGCTTTTCGCTGCTGGTCGTTCTTCTTCAGCAGTGTTCTGGAGTGCGTCCAGATCTCGCTTCCGTCTTGCATGCTGCCATTGACCAGAGGATTTGGAGCAGACAGAAAGTATCAACATTGGAAATGTGAGCTGGTGCTGCATTTCTCTTATTGCTTCAGTCATGGTATGTTTTGGGACAGGTGTTGGCTACGAAGCTCTTATTAAATAGGTGGTTCTCCAGGTGAGTTTTGTGCCTACATCTTCGGAGATCAGCGAGCTCATCAGGAAGAGCGGGCTAGCTGAAGAAGCCCGAGAGGAAGCTTGGCGTAGGTTGGCAACCGGTAGGAGATCAGTCAGAGTCAGGGTACCGAATAACCGGCCAATTCGATCCACCTTGAGAACGGCTTTTGGGGCGGAACACATGACAACCACGTGTTTTGGAGGGTGATGTGTTCGACTATTGGCACCTGCGGCATCCCATCTGAACCTACTTCAGACCTTCTGTGTAGATCTAGCCATCCAGCACATCGTGCGTGGATGCTTGGGACCAAGCTCTAATCCCTAAACCCTAAACCCCAAACCCTAAACCCCAAACCCTAAACCCCAAACCCACCTCCTAGAGCTGAGCTAAGGAAGGAGTCCGAGGGCCTCTGCTCTCGAAGCTGTACAAACTGCCTGGCAAGTTCGGGCTATGTCCCGATTCGCTCCAGCCCGATGACACCATCCTGGCCAAGTTGGGTCGGAAACCAGCCTGTGCGGTGGTAGTGTTAGTAGTAGTAGTAGTAGTAGTAGTAGTAGTAGTAGTAGTAGTAGTAGTAGTAGTAGTAGTAGTAGTAGTAGTAGTAGTAGTAGTAGTAGTAGTAGTAGGTAGTAGTAGTAGTAGTAGTAGTAGTAGTAGTAGTAGTAGTAGTAGTAGTAGTAGTAGTAGTAGTAGTAGTAGTAAGTAGTAGTAGTGTAGTAGTAGTAGTAGTAGTAGTAGTAGTAGTAGTAGTAGTAGTAGTAGTAGTAGTAGTAGTAGTAGTAGTAGTAGTAGTAGTAGTAGTAGTAGTAGTAGTAGTAGTAGCCAGTAGTAGCAGTAGTACAGTAGTAGCAGTAGTAGCAGTAGTAGCAGTAGTAGCAGTAGTAGCAGTAGTAGCAGTAGTAGTAGTAGTAGTAGTAGTAGTAGTAGTAGTAGTAGTAGTAGTAGTAGTAGTAGTAGTAGTAGTAGTAGTAGCAGCATATATATATATATATATTGCACATATTATTATTATTATTAATAATATTAATATTATTCATAGTATTCACATTCTTAATATTCTTATATGTATACCCTGAGAACCCAAACCTACTTTTTTGTAGGCTCTTAATTTAGAGACCCTTAAAGGATTCTTATGCAAACTACAAAAGTAGGCTTTGGGTTCTGAAGGTACATATCTATCTATATATATATATACAGGTACATTTTGTTTTTTGTTTTTGTTACTTTTTTGGCTTCCCCAGGGGCCACTGAACAGCCAAGGAAAGCCATGGAAGACCAGACAGGGTTCTGGGATTCGGCGGGCGTGCTCACCTTTATCAACGACAGGAACCCTGTGGGACCAAACGAACCCGAGAATTGGGGTTTAGGGTCATAGACCCTATACTTCTACCCAGAGTAGGCCCTTTTTCCCCCCTTTTTTTTTGGGGGGGGGGGGGGGGAGGGCTGGTTCCCTTCTAAGCCCCTTCAAACCGAAAAAAGTGCACCCTTTTTATTGCTGGGTTGCTCGTGGGTCTAGACTCCTATATTCATATCTCCTTGTTAAGGTTTGTGAACCACAAACCCTAAACCCTCAACCCTCAACCCTAAACCCTAAACCCTAAACCTAAACCCGAAACCCTTGAGGGTTCATCTCGATCTTCAGGAACATGCCGCTGGGCTCCTCCTCCAACGGTCCGAATGCAGTGCTGGCCCGGTGTGCTGACGGCACATATGGCACTGTGGAGCACCCTAGGACTGGGGTCATTGTTTGAAAACCCTTTTTTATTTTTTTAGGGTTTAGGGTTTAGGGTTTAGGGTTTAGGGTTTAGGGTTTAGGGTTTAGGAATACTTAAGCCCAATAAGGATCAAAAATGATCATGTTTCAAATAGTACCCCCCCCCCCCCAAACAATGGTGCAGAGGATGAACCTCTTCTACGAAAGTGAGGCCGGTCGGGTACGTGGCCAGTGACCTGAGGGGCCCACATGATCCCCTACAAGGGTTTCGGGTTCCTATACTATACCCGAAAAATAAATTAGAGTAGTATAGGGTCTATGACCCAACTTGAGGGTTCTTTTGGTCCTTTAAGAGAGAACATGGCCACTTTCAGTCCACCCTTTGAAGTTGTGAAGTGCCGGTTCATAGGTATGGTAGGCAGCCGGATGCTTGCTGTCTCGAAGCGAGTTTGGCGCGTGATTCGCCGTATTTCGTATGTAGTGGTTCAGGATTGTTCAGGTGGGTCCATAGCTGCGCAAAGGAGGGATCCAAAGTCAAAATAGGTGAGCCCTTGCATGGGGTCATTCCAGGTGGGTGGGGGCGGGTCGAGGTGGGGCGGTTTGCTGGATGCAGAGGAGGGGAATTCGGGAAATTGTATTGGCCCCATATAGGCAGTCTCAGATGGCACAGGGCCGAGGGCCGAGGCGAGTTTGGCCTTGTCTTTCTGAAATAATTGCAAACCCCTAAAGCCTAAACCCTAAACCAACTACGGGGGCGCTGGGATCATCCCTAAACCCTAAACCCGAAACCCTAAACCCTAAACCCTCATCACTCAGCTGGCCTGCGAGTCAGGAGAAGGTGCGGTTGCTTCTGAATGGCTTCATGAGTTTCCGCGCAGCCAGTGAGAAGGACATCTTTGAGATGTATGTGGCCAAGCTTCAACAGCATAGCCTGGGCGGAAGCAGCAGCTTCAAGTTGGATCCAACAAAACCCGCCCTTCTGAATGTGACGCTGCAAGCTCACTATGCGACTCTGGCGGATGGGATTACTTGGAGGTTAATGGGTACTTCTAAGTAGGGTGAGGAGTACTGTAAGTATGACTTGGAGTATTGTAAGTATGACTTCGGGTACTCACAACCCTACTTCTAAGTACCCACGAACCTTCAAGTAAGCATTTTGCATTGTTAATGCGATTTGAAACTTTCGCTGGCTTTTCACCGGGCTGAAGAACCAAAGTCCAGGATTTGGCCAACATTTGTCCTAAACACTAAACCCTAAGCCCTAAACCCTAAACCCTAAACCCTAAACCCTAAACCCTAAACCCTAAACCCTAGGGGAATCATGGGTTCGGTGTGGTTTTTGTGTTGGGGAAACGGCCAAAGTAACATTCTCGAAGACTGACATATAGTGCCCGCTCCGTGGCATCAGGTGAAGACAGTCAACCTCCTGCAGAAGGTTCTGGCGGCCATGGATGCGAGTGGGGGATCTTTGGCACAGTATGGCCTTCGAATCAACTCCTACTGTCACCCGGCGCTATGGCACATGGCTTTTGTGCCAGTTTTTTCGGTGCAGCTCATGCACAGATCTCACAGTATCGAGAGAAAAGTGCTGTGAATTTGGAGAGGAACCCTAAACCCTAAACCCTTAACCGGGGAGCTGGGTGGGCAATATCTGATTGCGTGTCTGCAGCCGTTGCTCATTGAGTTGATTTTTTTGCCATCCTCACAAGAAGTAGTTTGGCGGGTTTCGGTTTTAGGGTTTAGGGTTTGGGGTTTGGGGCTTAGGGTCTAAAAAGGGTTGTTTATGGTTTAGGGTTTAGGGTTTAGGGGCGCATGCAGTTCCTGGTTTTGGATTGCCAGGCCAGACGTGGCTTCGCAATGGGCACCCTGTGGGCGATGCACAGTGTCTTGGGCAGCATGGTAGTACGGTCTAGGGTTTAGGGTTTAGGGTTTAGGATTTAGGGTTTTGGGTTTAGGGTTTAGGGTTCTAGAGACAGAGGGTCTAAGTTTTAGGGTTTAGGGTTTTGTGTACGTTTGTCCTTTTTTAGTTCTGGCTTCGCTTTTAAAGCAACTAACCCCGAAAAGAATATCCTGAATGATATCCTCATTATAGTAGGTATAGGGCTCAAAGGTGTTTAGGGTTTAGGATACCCTCATTGTAATACGGTTGCTCGGCTACCCAGGTTCAGTGTCATGAGCCCACATTTCCAGACGCGTGTCTTCGTGGAGTCTGCGGCCAAACTGACGGCAGCCGGGGTGACCATCCCAGAGAAGGAGTCCCACACGGTTATTTCCAATAGGGGTAGCCCTTTTGTATGCCCAATAGAATAGAATCCCCTTAAAAGGCTCGGCCCCCCCCCCCCCCCCCAGGGAGGGTACCCCCATTTTGGGGAACTTGGATCCCAAAGGAGTCCTATATCAAGATGATCAAACATTTCACCCAAGTGATGATCGAGAGTGGCTACGGCGGTCGTGATGGTCAGGCCTTTGTGAACTTAGATGGCTTACACGAGGTCTTGAATGCAGGACTTTAAGCCTCTACATTTGTAGATCACTTTTTTTGATATCAAAGTGCAGAAGGCAGTGAAGACTCCTTCGCGATGGATTCGCTGGCTGGTTGGAACAGGTGAGAGAAAAGACCGACTGCAGCTTCTTGGTATCCCGTGCCCTACTTGTTCGTTTCGCCATTTGTCGAAGACTTCGGTATGTTGTCAGGGCCCCTAATGGTCATCGATGTGCATTGGATTCAGTTGTCGACAATTTACTGGGAGGGCCCTGGCTAGCTTTCAGTTTATGCTTTTTTGATGCCAAGGCATTCCCCAAATCCAGCGACTACTATTTGCTTGAGCAACAACACCCCCCCAACAAAAACAAAAACAAAACAAAAACACATAATTATTCTTCCTCATACGGGGCGATGTAGGGATATTTTTAGCGTGCATTCCCCGGCAGGTTCTTATAAGCAAATAGTAGAAGGCAGGACTCCCACGTTTCGGGGTGCAGGGTGTCCTAGGGTTTAGGGTTTAGGGTTTAGGGTTTAGGGTCAGGTGCATAAGGTATAGAAAGACCCGCTGGTTCCTAGTAGGGAATGAGGGAAGAGGTGGCCCAAATCCCCCTAGATATACCCTTCAAAGGAGTATATAGGGCACCTGATGTCCTCATTCCCTACAAAGAAACCAGTAGCAGGAGCATGGCGTTTCGGTTGAATCGAAGCAAGCCTAAACCCTCAGCCCTAAACCACTTCCCTAAACCCTAAAGCCAAAACCCCAAACCCGAAAATTCGAGACCGAAGTCATGATGCAACCGCGTTGCAGGCGCTGCCAGTGGCTTCGCAAGTATGAGCAGAAGTGGCTGGCTCGACAGGAAGCTTCCTGCGACAGCCGCCAGGCATGTTAAAAGTACGCCATGAACCTGCAAGTCGAGTTTTCGACCCTAAACCCTAAACCCTAAACCCTAAACCCTAAACCCTAAACCCTAAACCCTAAACCCTAAACCCTAAACCCTAAACCCTAAACCGAAGCCCCTTATAAGCAACTCGCAGTGGGTTCAGAGTTCAGGGCCACGAAGGTCGAAGGAAGCCGGGGGTGTTGCTGTCGCTGTCTTGTCTGGGCGAGGGGTGGCCTAGGGGTAATTACAGTAGATTCCTTGCAGTTAGTGTTGTTTTCATTTATGTGTTCTAATTTGTTAGGTCTTGTATGGGGTAATTACAGTAGATTCCTTGCAGTTTAGGGTTTTGGGCTTCTGCGGCTGTTGCTCAAATGGCTCACACAGTCCTCATGTGGCGCTGAGGCCTTCTGGCGCAGCTGCGGAAAGATGCCACGGGCCTCACATGTTGAAGCCGGTTCTCGTTTCAAGTCCAGGTGCAGGGTGGTGCTTCGTAGTTAGGCGTTAGGGTTTAGGGTTTAGGTTTCGGGTTTAGGGTTTAGGGTTTGGGGTTTAGGGTTTAGGGTTTAGTCACTTGTTACTCCTCCAGCTTCTGCACTCGGAGCACTCAAAGCCCCAAACACTAAACCCTAAAAACCTTCGACTTGGGATGTTCAACCAGAAACTGACAGTCCTTAATAACCTTAACCCTACCCTACCTTAACCCTACCCTACCCTACCTTAACCCTACGCTACCCCTACCCTACCTTACCCTAACCCTACCCTACCCTACCTTAACCCTACCCTACCTTAACCCTACCCTACCGTAACCCTACCTTAACCCTACCCTACCCTACCCCTACCCTACCCCTACCCTACCCCTACCCTACCCCTACCCTACCTCACCCTAACCCTACCCTACCCTACCTTAACCCTCGCCTACCCTACCCCTACCCTACCTTAACCCTACCCTACCCCTACCCTACCTTAACCCTATCCCCTACCCTACCCTACCCCTACCCTACCTGACCTACCCTAACCCTACCCTACCCTACCTTCACCCTACGCTACCTTAACCCTACCCTACCTTAACCCTACCCTACCCTGCCTCAACGCGACTCTACCCTACCCTACCCTACCTTATCCCTACCCTACCCCTACCCAACCTTAACCCTACCCAACCTTAACCCTACCCTACCCTACCTTGACCCTACCCTACCTTAACCCTACCTTAACCCTCCCGTAACCCTACCCTACCCCTGCCCTACCTTAACCCTACCCTACCTGTACCCTACCTTAACCCTGGCCTACCTTAACCCTACCCTACCCCTACCCTCCCTTAACCCTACCCTACACTACCTTAACCCTACCCTACCCTACCTTAACCCTACCCTACCCTACCCTACCTTAACCCCTACCCTACCTTAACCCTACCCTACCCCTACCCTACCTTAACCCTACCCTTCCCTACCTTAACCCTACCCTACCCTACCTTCACCCTACCCCCTACCCTACCCCTACCCTACCTTACCTACCCTACCCTACCCTGCCCTACCCTACCTTAACCCTTCCCTACCCTACCTTATCCCTAGCCTACCCCTACCCAACCTTAACCCTACCCTACCCTACCTTGACCCTACCCCCCTCCCATAGCCCTACCCTACCCCTGCCGTACCTTAACCCTACCCTACCTTAACCCTACCCATACCCTACCTTAACCCTACCCTACCCCTACCTTACCTTAACCCTACCAGGTGGAAGGGTCAAGGTAGGGTAGGGTAGGGTTAAGGTTGGGTAGGGGTAGGGTAGGGATTAGGGCAGGGTAGGGTAGGGTTAAGGGAGGGTAGGGTAGGGTTGAGGCAGGGTAGGGTAGGGTTAAGGTAGGGTAGGGTTAAGGTAGAGGGTAGGGTTAAGGTAGGGCAGGGATCGGGTAGGGTCAAGGTAGGGTAGGGTAGGGTAGGGTAGGGTTAGGGCAGGGTAGGGTTGAGGTAGGGTTAGGGTGGGGTCAAGGTAGGGTGGGTAGGGTTGGGGGTAGGGTAGGGTTAAGGTAGGGTAGGGGTAGGATAGGGTTAAGGTAGGGTAGGGTTAAGGTAAGGTAGGGGTGGGGTAGGTTTAAGGTAGGGTCGGGTTGAGGTAGGGTCGGGAGGTAGGGCAGGGTTAAGGTAGGGTAGGGTAGGTTGGGCAGGGTTGGGGTAAGGGTAGGGCTAAGGTAGGGTAGGGGTCGGGTTAAGGTAGGCTAGGGTACGGTAGGCTTAAGGTAGGGCAGGGGAAGGGTCGGGTGAAGGTAGGGTAGGGTTGAGGTAGGGTAGGGGTAGGGTAGGGTTAAGGCAGGGTAGGGTAGGGTTAAGGCAGGGTAGGGTAGGGTTAAGGTAGGGTAGGGGTAGGGTGGTAGGGGGTAGGGCTAAGGTAGGGTAGGGGTAGGGTCGGGTTCAGGTCTTAACCCTAAGGTAGAGTAGGGGTAGGGTAGGGGAGGGTTAAGGTAGGGTAGGGTAAGGTTAAGGTAGGGTAGTAGGGTTAAGGTAGGGTAGGGGTAGAGTAGGGTCAAGGTAGGGCAGGGTAGGGTAAAGTTAGGGTAGGGTAGGGTTAAGGTAGGGGTAGGGTAGGGTTAAGGTAGGGTAGGGGTAGGGTAAACTTAAGGTAGGGTAGGGGTAGCGTAGGTTTAAGGTAGGGTAGGGTAGAGTTAAGGTAGGGTAGGGTAGGGTTAAGGTAGGGTAGTAACCCTACCTTAACCCTACCTTAACCCTCCCGTAACCCTACCCTACCCCTGCCCTACCTTAACCCTACCCTACCCGTACGCTACCTTAACCCTAACCTACCTTACCCTACCCCTACCCTACCTTATCCCTACCCTACCCTACCTTAACCCTACCCTACCCTACCTTGACCCTACCCTAATTACCCTACTTACCTTAACCCTACCTAACCCTACCCTACCCTACCTTTACCCTACCCTGCCCTACCTTGACCCTACTCTACCCCTACCCTACCTTAACCCTACTACCCTGCCTTAACCTTGACCCTACCTTAACCCCACTACCCTTAACCTTGACCTACCCTACCTTAACCCTCCCCTACCCTACCCCTACCCTACCTTAACCCTACCCTCCCCTACCCCTACCTAACCCTACCCCCTACCCCTACCCCTACCCTACCCCTACCCTACCCTACCCCTACCCTACCCTACCCTAACCTCAACCCTACCCTACCCTACCTACCCGTGCCCTACCTTAACCCTACCCTCCCCTACCCTACCTTAACCCTACCCCTACCCTACCTTACCCCTACCCTACCCTACCTTAACCCTACCCGACCCCTACCCTACCTTAACCCTACCCTACCCTCCTTAACCCTACCCCTGCCCTACCTTAACCCTACCCTACCCCTACCCTACCTTAACCCTACCTTAACCCTACCCGACCCTACCTCAACCCTACCCTACCCTACCCTTCCTTAACCCTACCCTACACTACCTTATCCCTGCCCTACCCTACCTTAACCCTCCCCTCCCCTACCCTACCTTAACCCTACCCTACCCCTACCCTACCTTAACCCTACCCTAAACCCTACCTTAACCCTACCCTACCCCTACCCTACCTTAACCCTACCCGACCCTACCTTAACCCTACCCTACCCCTACCCTACCTTAGCCCTACCCTACCCCTATCCTACCTCAACCCTACCCTACCTTAACCCTACCGGGAACTTCTCAACCCTCAACCCTAAGAAGCCCCAGCCAAACAAGAAACACCCCAAACCCGAAACCCTCAACCCTAAACCTTAAACCCTGCATGGGGTTCAGGGTCCTGGCACCTCTTAGAGCTGCTGCAGGTTGCACAAAAAGGCTTCTTAGGGGGTTAGGGTGCGGCTTTGCTTCGGGATTGTCGTAGTTTAAGCCCGCAGCGCTGAACCCAAAACCCCTAAACCCCATAAGTTTCGGGAGAGTTGCGGAGTTGAAGCCCTAAACCCTGAACCCTAAACCCCGAAACCCTATAAGTTCTAGGCGAAGTTCTAGGTGAGCCGAAAACCCTAAACCCTAAACCCGCATCAGACCCACTCCAAAGAGACCTTCCTTCCTGGCTAAGGCGAGAAGAATCGAGGAGGAAGATGCGCGGCAACTGTCAGGCTCTATACTTGGTGGTTCACTCGGGTTCCTATAAGTAGGGTTTAGGGTTTAGGGTTTAGGGTTTAGGGTGATTGGAAGCACCCGAAATACGGATATGATATCACCACAATTGCCCTACTACTGTCCCTACTTGTGCGTACCCATGGACCTCCAAGTACACCCCAGAGGTTTGTGTCGAAGGTTGCTCGGGTCCTAGGGTTTAGGGTTTATAGGGTTTAGATTTTATGGTTTGAGGTTTTTAGGGTTTAAGGTTTCGGGTTTATGGGGTTTGCAGTTTATATAGGGTTTAGGGTTTAGAGTCTACAGGGTTTAGGGTCACATAGTCTGAAAGGGGCCCTTTCTGCAGAAATGCTGATGCGGCCTGGCCCGGTACTAGAATCCTGAACACGGAGCCCAGTTCAAAAAGGGTCGAATCTGGTCCCGTACAACCTCATACGAAGGCCGGAGAAAATGACCTCTATGAACCCCTAAACCCTAAACCCAAGCCGTATTGACAGGATTTGACAGGCCCATGCAACTATGCAAGCAAACGCCTCTAGGCAGCCTAGGCGTCCGAGGACTGATTCCCGTGACCGTCCCTCCCAGGCGCCCTGAATTTCCTAGCCCTGGGCGGCAACATATTGTTTAAACACCCTTAGCTTATGTTCATGTGCAGTCCAAGCGCTACAAACCCCAAGCCCCCTCCCCAAATCCCCACACGACCCCCGAAGCCCGAATCGAAAGACCGATAGAGGGAGCGCCTTTGTCGTCTTCCGCAGTGGCAACGAAGATGCGCTCAGATGCCTGGCAGGGCAAGAGCCAGGCGCGGCGTTGCTGGCGTTTCTTATCTGTCCCACCTGGGGGACTACTTGAATCCTCAAAGGGTTTATGGTTCATATGCCTTGTCATATACCTTGACAAGAATTCCGCGAGTGTAGGGCAGATGACCTTTTTTGGGGGGGTTCATGTGGTCCCAGATTAAGCCCTCTCAACCCGAAGCCCTACTTGGGGGGGGGGATTACGAAAATAGGGAGCCCGAATATGGACCACCAGATAGTAGGAGTCCCTTCTAATTAACATGGGCCGGAGTATGAGTTTTTTTTTTTTTTTTTTTTTTG